AAAAAAAAAAAAGTCAAATCTTAAAAACACATGAAAAAAATAAGGAGGCTGAGATCTGAGGTCCAAAGCCAGCCCAGGCAGGAAAGTCCATGAGACTCTGATCTCTAATTAACCACCAGAAAACCGCAAGTGACACTGTGGCTCAAGTGGTAGAGCACTGGCCTTGAACTGAAGAGCTCAGGGACAGCATCGAGGCCCAGTGTTCAAGCCCCACGCCCGACTGGGGAGGTGGGGGGGTGCAGATGAAAAGCTGAATTCAAGCATGAACTGGACAATAAGAATCAAAAACTATCAAAAGGCTGGTTAAAAGCATTTGTGCCAGATGTCTGTAGGCACCAGTGGCTCATACCTCTTATAATCCAAACTACTCAGGAGACTGAGGTCTAAGGATCATGTTTCACAGCCAGTCTGGGTAGACAAATCCAAGAGACTCGTTAACCAGTACACCAAAAACAAAAAACAAAACAAAAAAAAGCAGCAGCAGCATTGTGATTTCAAGGCATACCCACAGGATGACCCTGGGATCAATTTCCATCCCATCCCATACATATTCTAAACAGAATACTTTCATCTAAACTCCTGAATTTTTTTTTTATTTTTTATTGTCAGCCATGGGGCTTGAACTCAGAGCCTAGGCACTGTCCTTGAGCTTTTTCTTTTTGCTCAAAACTGGGGCTCTACAACTTTAAGCCACAGAAACATTTCTGATTTGCTGGTAGTTAACGGGAGATAACAATCTCATGGATTTTCCTGCCTGGGCTGGCTTCTAACGGTGATCCTCAGATTTCAGCCTCCTGAGTAGCTAGGATTACAGTCATGAGACACCAGAAACTGGCAATCTTTCATTTTTAACTCCTGAAATTCCAAAGATCCTACTCAGGCAGTGTTTCAACCACACCAAGTCTCAAAGACAGATCACACAGAAGGAAACTGAAGACTACCAAGCTTGAACACCAACTGGTGGGATCTGTCTGACACTGTAGGTAGTCAGTACTCAATAGTTTACTACACTAGTTCCTATCTGGCTTTCCCCTCCAGCTCTTTCAAATGAAGCTGTTGTCCACAGGCTCCAGGATATGTCACTTGTAAACACGCATGTACTAAGGCAAATTGTCATCTACATAAGCATCAACTCTATTTAACACGCACTCCCAAAACTCTTTCCTTCTCTTTTGTACCTAAGTCATCTTTTTGGGACCTTTTTCTGATCTTTCTCCTTTCCCTTGAATATACTCAACTGATGATATGTGTTTCAAGTCTTACATACAGGTATGTTATCAACAAACAATAAAAACTCAGTGAACGGGATTTTCTTAAAGGTTTCCTCCTCATTTTTTATTACTTAAAAAAAAACTTAATTAGTAGAACAAAATAATAACAGAATGCTAATAAGAACTAAGAGAAAGACTGAAAATGTGGCTTAGTGGTAGAGTGCTTGCCTAGCAGGCCTGAAGCCCTGGGTTTGATTCCTCAGTACCAGATAAACAGAAAAAGGCAGAAGTGTGCGGTGACTCAAGTGGCACAGCACTAGCCTTAAGCACAGAGAGGCTCAGGGACAGTGCCCAGACCCTAAATTCCAGCCACAGGACTGGCAAAAAAAAAAAAAGAACTAAGAAAAACAGTTTGTTCCTATTTGTGAATAAGGCTGGTTGTGTTTATGATTTTAAATTGTATAAATAAAAGTCATCTTTCCTGCTAGGAAAGGTATTTCTAGGCTTACTTTACCCACAATTTAGTGCTGCACAAATAGCTGCTTGGCATCTGGGTATTCACCTCTTCAAACAATCTGTGGTGGAAAATTTATTGCTGTATTTCCACTTTTACACTTACCAAAAATGTAGAATAACAGGTTGTCTCTCTGTTAAGCACTATGTAGAATAAACAGACTGTGGAACATATCAAGTGCTGGGGGATGGGGATAGGGAGTGAAAAGGGATGGACATGTGAACCTAGTTTCAGATTTTGCTAGGAGCAGAGTGATTGTGAGGAACACACAAACCTAAAAACTATTGTCAGATTTAGAACTAGTTCTAATCAAAAATCAATGGTACTGGATTTCTTTGCACACTAGTAGTAATGAGTGTGACTCAAGAGCCCAATGATAGTATTAGTTATAAAGTGTCAAAGGACTGACATAATCCGTACAAATTAAAATGTCTGCACTACTGGTTTGTGCAAGCAGGGGCAAACCCCTCAGCCAAGACGCAAGTCACAATGACGGAGATTTATCTGGGCATTCCTCCCGAGCCTGAGTTCCATATGGATTGCAATCATTTTGAAGAATGACAGCTTTAGGTTAAGGTTAAACCCCATTTTAAATTTGCACTTTGGGGGATTTGCAACAGATTACGAGGATCAAAGGTCTCCATATCGTAGTCATTTTTACAATGTTTCTTTAGTGTGGTCCTACACAGCCGAAGTCTCCCCACGCTGCCAGACTACTTCACAAGCAGTTACATCAAACCAGAAAAAAAAAAATTCGAATGAACACACCTCCCCTGGACTGCTAAAAACAGTTTCAATCTACTGCATTAACACTTAAACGGCCATAGGACAGGCCCCACGGCTCACTCGGGACCCCCACCCTGGCTGGACCCCACCCCATGCCGCAGTGCTTACCTCTGCAACTCCTCCTCCTGGATCCTCTCCTCATCCCACACGAAGACACCAGCAAGCGCCGCCATCAAGGCAGAGGCATGGCCAGGGCGTCCACGCAGCCGGCGCCACAGGCGTCCGAGCAGGACGCAGCGCGAGCTCTCGGAATACAGGCGGCCGTAGAGCTGGGCGATCTGGTGCGCGCGCCGCACGCGCAAGCCCGTCACGAAGCGGCACTGATTGGCCAAGAGAGCGAGCAGGCCCCCGCCCCGCGTCCCCGCCAGCCAGGCGGCCAGGGCGGCCGGAGGCCTCCGCGGGAACATGCTGTGTCCACGCGCCCGCCCGCCGCAGGTCTCCGGAGCCCTCCCGCGAGCCCTCCGCGGACCCCGGGAGGACGCGGGCCGCCGTCGGTGGAGTCTGCGCCTAGATGGCTCTCCGCGAGTCCGTCTCACGGTCCCGAAGCCAGGAGCCGCCCCTCATGTCTCTGCAGCAACGGCTGATGAAGTCAGTCCCCTCTTGGCGAGAGAGCCGCTGCACCAGGCGCTCCTGGGTTCAGCTCGGCTGCTCCTCCGCGTGTCCAGCAGGGCCCGAGAACCGTGCTGCGGAGCACGCGGGGACAGCCGGACGGGCAGCTCGGGCCGGCAGCAGGCAAGGTCTTGAGCGTTCCGCGTCCGCCACTCGCGCCGCCCGTCCGCAACCTACCCCAGTCTTCGCCGCCCAGGCTCTGATTGGGCGCGGCTGGAATACTCCGGCTCTCATTGGTGGCGCCAAGTGCTCGTCACCGCTCACTCCCGCCCTTATGCGCCTGCGCCGGCTCACCTAGTAGCAAGGTAGGTGACACGGCGGTGAAGGCTAGTCAAGGGCGCCTGTGGGACCCCGGCGCCACCGCCATTTCGGGCCGCCCAGACCCCGCCCCGCGGAGAGGCGCAGCGAGGTGCTGTGAGAATCATGAGCGGTGTCTACTTGTGCTTAGAGGCCGGAGTCCCCTCCCTGTTCTCTATTATCGAAGCAGGGTCTTCGCGCGGCTGGCTAGGTGAGGGGGTGATGGAGATGACACTGGTGAATTGGTACCTAGCCCTGGCCCCGCCAGGCCTGCTGTGCGAATCTTCCTCCGCCTCCCTGCTGGGTCTTCCAGTACCCTCGGAGGTAAAGCACTGAGGCCATCCTAGAGGGGTGGGTTCGCATCCTGAGAGCCCAGGACACCTACAGGGAAATCCGCGTGAGCAGGTGGCCTGTACCAATCTGAAAATGCAATATCAGTCCCACTCCTTTTCACTCAAAAGAACGTGCACAGGTTTCCCAAACCAGCTGGCCTCGTCCCTGTGAACGACCTAGCTAAGTGGTTTCAAGTGATAGTAAGTTATTACTCTGTAGCCAACCTCATAAAGACGAAATTGCTGGATATCCAATAGGAAACCCTTACACGAAATTGTTTCATTACCCTCTTTTTTAAAGCTTGTACTTAAAGGGTTTTACTGACAAAACAGAAAGGATTGTAACCGAACAATGGGCTTGCCCCCGGGTGAGTCTGAAATTACTAAACACGACTAGATGGCAGACTGAACGCTGGTTTGACTTATAGGTAAGGAGAGCGTAGAAATAACTCCCAAAGGGCTAGGAATGGGGCTTCATGGCAGAGTGCTTGTCTAGCATGCATGAAGCCCGGTATTCAATTCTTCAGGACCTTAGAAAAAGCAGGAAGTAGCTCTGTGGCTCAAGTGATAGAATGCTAGCTTTGGGTAAAAGCAGCTCAGGGACAGTGCCCAGACCCTGAGCTCAGCCCTAGGACAGGCAAAAAAAAAAAGCTGGCACCAGTGGCTCACGCCTGTAATCCTAGCTACTCAGGAGGCTGAAATCTGAGGATCGCGGTTCAAAGCCAGCCCGGGCAGGAAAGTCCCTGAGACTCTGATCTCCAATAAACCACTCAAAAACCAGAAGTGGCGCTGTGGCTCAAGTGGTAGAGCCTTGAGCTGAAGAGCTGAGGGATAGCGCCCAGGCCCAGAGTTCAAGCCCCACGACCGACAAAAAAAAAAAAAGAAAGGACTCCCAAAGCAGAGTCTCTACAAATATAGAAAGCAAAAGAACTTTATTGGGGGAGATTTATGCATATTCATATTGGAGAGACTTAGCATCCCATGTATAGTTGAGCACACTTCTGTAGAGCAGTCTTTAATGGCACCAACTTAAAAACGGCGGATAGATCCGGGCATGGGCACCTCATGCCTGTAATTCTAGCTGCTCAGGAGGCTGAGATCTGAGGATTAAGATTCAAAGCCAGCCTGGGCAGGAATCCATGAAACTATGGCCAATAAACTACCATCCTCCCCCAAAAAGGCCAGAAGTGAAGCTGTGGCACAAATGATAAAGTTCTGGTGGCTCAGGGACAGCTGCCAGGCCCTGTGTTTCAACAGGCCCTTGAGATCCACTCATGAAAAACATTTCAGTGTCTCACAAAAGGAGAGTCTCAGGAGGAGAAAGTTTTAGCAAGTATTTATTTATTTTAGTATAACAGAGTTACGGCAGGGAGAAAGAAACATTTCCTGCTCCCTGTGCAATTAAAGACTCAAAATGCCAGCTCCTATCTGTAACCTTTGTACCTTTTGAGCTGGGCAAGTTCCCATGACCTGGCAACTCCATGGGTAAGATGAGTGATAATATCTAGAATTGCCTTTTGCCAGATATTCTTTTCTTTCTGCTTTTACTCATCCTTGAAAAGTTCTCAGATTTTTATTATTTCAAAGAAGAAGGCAGATTTTGATATGACTCCTGAAGTAGGCCCTGAGAGGAGACTCTAGCTGGTACAGCTTCTTTCCAAGCTTTGCCTTTGTTTTAGAGATTTTTAACAAAAAAAAAAAACAAAACACCTCTAAATCAGGTTAACTCCACCTTGGCACCAACCAGCCCAGTTCTTGGAATGGAAAGAATGCCTCTAGGTCCCCCTCCCCTTAACAACTTATCCCACCTTCATTGTTCTGTTAAGGACTGACCAATTAAACAGCCAGTAATCTGGCTCATACTGGCAACATCACAAGCTTACCATAAACTCCGCCTTTTTCATGTGCTTATGTTAAATTCCACTAAACTCCTTTGTGTATGCTTACTGTAAGCTCCACCTTACCGTTGAATTCGTGAGTCATTTAAACCAAAGGTGATAGGCTGGTTTAAACAGCCATTATGTGACAAAGTGTAACCTCATTGGCCACCTGCGTGTGGTCTAGTATGACTGTGCAATCTTTAAGGTGTGTGACAATGTCATTGGTCACCTGCGTGACCAGGCTTGACCTTGTGAATTTTGCCTTTAATAAACCTAAGTAGGTAGACCACTCGGGGTCGCAGTATCAGCTCCCGAGCCTGTGCTGTGGCCCTGGCTGGTCAGTGTAGGAACCTTCTCAATAAAGTTGCTTCTTTATTAACAACTTTGTTGCGGTGGGCTCTGTCACTCCAGACGACTAAGTGGGCTTGCCTGCCTGAGTAGGGGTCTTCCTACTACATTTAATGGGGGCTCATCCGGGATAAAGCTCTTAGCTGCTCCAACCTGAGGGGGACTGGGATCCCCGGCTGAGAGGACAGTGTGTGGGTACTTGGCTGTTGGAGAGAAGTTCCGAGAAAAGCCTCAAGGTAAGCACGGTCGACCTAGGTAGAGAAGGCGCCAGAGTAAGGCCAAAAGTAGGGTGAGGCTGGATGCAGCAGAGTCCAGGCCGAGGAAGTCCAGGGACACCTGGACCCCTCAATTCCACCAGTCCTAGCAGTCCTAGTTGGACGGGGGATTGCTTGTGGAGAAAATAAGTTGAGAAAAAAGTAACTTTTGGTTTAGGGATCCCTCCTCGTTCTGTGTATAATCGTGTCTGTCGTGTCTCATTGTGCTTTTGCTTTTGCTTGCCATGTTTGTAATTGGATTTAGTTTACAGGAAAAATATGGGGCAAAGTGAGTCCACTCCTGGGACACCCCTAGACCTTGTCCTAGTTCGTTTAAAAACAGAAACAAAAACTGCTTGTTCTGCTTTTGTAAACTGCCACTGACCACCTGCAAGTGGCCCCAGTTAGATCTCAGCCTCAGGCCTTGGCTCAGAGGGTCTGAGCATGGGGGAGAACCTGTCAGTCTGAGGGGACGGCCACTAGGAATTTTTTTCCCTTGCCCTAACATGACTGGGAATTCTCTGCCTTGAAAGGCCCCTGGGTCAACATTTGCAGGAATCTAAAAGAAAAATCCGGAGGTTGGGGGCGGGAGGGGGGGGAGGGAGGGTTCGAGTCCTCTGGTAAGTGAATGGTGCTGAGATGTCGCCCCATTCACTGAGAACTGATTTTTGTCTTTGTGGTCACTTGTCTGTCTTGTTTACTTTAGTGTGTTTTCTGTTCTATGTTTGCAGAGGTAGGGAAGTTCTGGGTGAGCATGGCAGGCTCATTCAGCAGACTCTGGATTCAGCTTGCCGAGTGGGAGCAGCACAGAGTTCCGGTAGGGATAAACTGGGTCCCATTAGTCCCCAACTCAGCCTTCGGTTCTTGTCTTGTCCTGTTTTAGAATTGGTACCAGTTTTAAATGTGGATCCTTCATTTTTGTGTTTATTTGTGTTTTGTTTATTTGAACATCTCTGGGGGAATAAATGTTACAGCCTCCAGCTAGGCTTGGTCACCACCTGCTATGGCCCCCTCCATGTGAGGCACGGAAGGTTGCTGGACTAGTTTGGGCCCCTTCAAGCCTCAGGCTGAATTTATTGTCTTAATTTTTGTTTAAAAATTGTACATACAGGGCTGGGAAGGTGGCTCAATGGTAGAGCGCTTGCCTTGCATGCCTGAGGCCCTGGGTTCTATTCCTCAGCACCACATAAGCAGAAAGAAAAAAGCCAGAAGTGGAGCTGTGGCTCAAGTGGTAGAGCACTAGCCTTGAGCTGAAGAGCTGAGGGACAGTGCCTAGGCCCAGAGTTCAGGCCCCACGACCGGACCCCCCCCAAAAAAAATGTACATACAACTGATTTTTGATTTTTGCCCACTTTTAAGATCTGTGTGAGTGTTTTGTATGAGTGTGAACATGTTCAAGATAAAAATTGTCAGCATGCTGTAACAATTGGGTGAATTTAAGTTTAAAATTCAAAAGGTTAGGAGGTTTGGACATTACCAAAAATTTTAAAGAATCTTCATTGTTTTAAATGGCTTTTTAAGAATTCTTTAACTTGAAAATTAGAAAATCTAGTATTTTGTTTACACCATAATCATGTTATCTGGCTTAACAAAAATGCATTGGCTGTTTGGGATTTATTTCCCTAGGCTAAAATTTGGGGATAAATATTAGAAATTTAAATGTAAAGGTTAGTTTAACACTGTCAAAGACAATACCTGTTTTGTTTGTTTAAAACTGTGTATTCAAGAACCAAGAGAAAAGAAAAGGGAAAATCTTAGAAGCTAACAGAAGACTTATCTTTAGGGGTGAGCGGTAAACAGGCAGAAGTACAGTTCAGCTGGTCATGCATGGTGGGACAGGCCCTGGGAGGAGTCCATGCATGGTGAAAGAGGGCAAGCTGACACAAACGCAGTTCATCTAACACTAAAGAGTCAGATTGGGTGCATGCCCATTCCATAGGAGGGGCCGAGTGGCCCATCTTTGTTCTCTTTTCTCTGCAGATAGACACTGGAAACGTGATGGTTAAAATGAGTGATGTGAGGGCTGGGAAGGTGGCTCAGTGGT